TTTCTGAGACAGGGTCTCACTATGTAGTTGAGACTGACCTGAAACTCACTACGTAGCCCAGGCTGGTCTTGAACTCACAGTGATCCTCCTGCCTCAGCCTCCCACGTGCTGGGATTACAGGCGTGCGCCACCATGCCAGGCTTTGATCTATAGATTTAATGCAATACTTTAAAATATTAACAACATTCCTCACAAAACTAGAAAAAAAATTCCTACAGAATCAGAAAATACCCAGAACAGCCAAAGCAATCTTGAGGAAAAAGAGCAAAGCTGGAGTCATCATAATACTGGATTTCCATTTATACTACAAAGTTACATTTATACTACAAAGTATGGCACTGAAATAGACATGAAGACCAACAGAACAGAACAGAAGATACCCCCCCAAACCCCCATCTGTCTACAACCATCTGATTTTGACAAAGAAGCAAAAAATATATGTTGGAGAAAAGACAGTCTCTAATAAATGGTGCTGGGAAAATGAGATAGCTGCTTGCAGAAAATTTAAACTAGATTCCTATCTTTTCTCCTGTACTGAAACTAAATACAAATGGATCAAAGACTTTGATATAAAAACAGAAACATGGAAACTGCTGGAAGATGACATAGGAGAGCCACTTGAAGCCATAGGTATAGACAAAGGCTCTCTGAGTAGTACTCCAACAGCAAAGGAAGTAATACCATGAATGAAATCATATCAAATAAAAATCTTATTCCTAGCAAAAGGAACAATGAACACAGTGAAAAGACAACCTACAGAATCTTAGAATTTTTTTGCTAGCTATTCTTCTGATAGAGGATTAATACCTACACTGTATAAAGCACTCACACAATTAACTGCCCCAAACAAATGACCCTTCAAAATTTGCCGAATGAACTGAAGAGACATTTATCTAAAGAAGAACCAATTGCCAATAAGCACATGAAAAAATTTTCAACATCTTCAGCTATTATGAAAATGAAAATTAAAACAACTTTGAGATTCCATCTTATCCCAATCAGATTGGCTATTATGTAGAACACAAAAAAACAATGAAAGTTTGGTGAGAATGTGGGGAATAAAGGAACATTTCTATGTTGTTAGTGAGAATGTAAACTAGTAAAACTATGGAAATCTTAATGGATATTCCTCAAAAAAACTAAGAAGAAACATTCCAGAATATACTGTAGTGAGTATATTCTCAAAATAATGAAAAACTTTATACTATCGTGAAATATGCATATTCACGTTTATGGCAGCACGATTCACAATAGCTATGCTCTAAAAATAACCTATGTCCATCAAAAGAGGCTAAGTGAAATAAGCCAGACTTGGAAGGTTAAGATATCATGTTTTCTCTCACATTAAGAAACAAAAAATATGAAATGAATAGATAAAATACAGCAGTGATGATAGAAAAGTAGAAGGAAGACTTTTGGAAATAGGGAAGGAGATAAGTGGAAAAAGTAAAGAAAGGAGGAGGGTAAAAGAATTGAAAATGAGTAAGATATGTTATACACAGGCACCATTTCTCCCAAAATGAACATCACTATTATAAAAAAAGAAAGTAATTAATATATTTCACTTTTTAGTGCGACCATCCTACCTACATGCTACATAAGTTTAAATAGGTAGGACACACACACACACACACACACACACGTACACATGCACACACACACATATACACACACACACTATTGACTGGAGGTTGATAAATGTGGAGAAGAGTCTAATCAAATGTTTGGTTGTAACAAAAGATGAGATGGCATTTAGGTTAGATATCATAAGACAATGAAAGGAAAACAAATTGTCTTTGTGTAAGAAAATATTTGATAAGTCACTAGAAGATGGTATTTTGAAGGCAAACATCAAGAGCCAGGGCCACAAAAGCTGATTTAATGTGGGAGAAATTAAAATAGGAATTTATTTTTGTTCTGAAAAGGAAATGGAGGGGAAACAAAGGAAAGAACAGAGAAATAAAGGGAGAGGAAAAAAACTAGAATCAAAGTAGGAACTAGGGCAAATAACAAATAAGGGAATGAGTCTGAAGGACTTTGAAAAGATGGGGAAATATTAAGCAATCTAAAGGTATTTGTCTTTTTGCGAGAAAGCTAATTTCATGAGTCTTATTTTTAGAAAAATGAGATACTGAGATGATTTGTAACAATTCACAATATGAATTAATTTAGTAGAAGCAAAAGCTAATTGTGACAGAAGATAATCCTTTAGAAACTTGCAGAAATTTGGGATCAGATTTTAGACAAAGCAAGAATACATTTCAGGTCTTCTGATTTAGCGCTTCTCAGAGAAGACTTCAGCATACATCTAGATGCCACTTACAGAAACAAAGTGGGAAATTGAGTTCCAGTGTGTTAAGGAAGTCGTCCATGGTCACCAGGTAGAGAGATCTAGGTTAAGTCTGAATTTGCAAAGTCATTATGGAGGGCTTTTAACAGTGGTTAAAAGCACAGATTCTAGAGCCACAGAGTCTAGATTCAAATGCTGGCTCTGAAACTTAGCTATATGACCTTGAACAGATTATACAATCTTCATACACACACACACACACACACACACACATATAATATACACACAAAACATATATACATTATTTATATAATTATACATATTATATATTAT